CATGATACATTCACCACGTGTCCAAAGAAACTTTCACTCACGAACTTCAGGATGGGGCTTACCTACAATTTTTGGATTTGAGCTAAGAATTCATTGCTAAACACGTTTGCTGGTCTTATCACCCACGCTCAAAGAAGGGTCTTCTTCTATATGATTCATCGCACTCTAAGCTGGGCAAGAGAAGCATTGCCTCGTCTTGCCTACAAGCTGCACTCGAGAAGTCATGTCATCATGTCGTTAAGGATAGTTTTTCCCAGCAGGTTGAGAGATTGACCGTGGCAGGTTTCCCAACTTCGGCTTTATTGAGCGTTGCGGAAGTTTTGCTAAAGAAACTGAAGGGGGAACCCCGTCCCCGTAGGGAAAAGCCAAATAAGAGACCCGCTCGTAATACCGCATCTCCATAAAATTTCACACAACTTGAAAAAAGTTGCCTTGAGGCACGATGTGCCATTGGTGTTTTCCGCTCCGTGAAAGCTGGCGCAACTATGTGCGAGAGTTGCCGATAAGAAGGACAAAGGACCCGCTTGCTCGGTGAAGCATGAGGATCAATATGTTGTTTGCAAGGTGGGAGTTGTTTACACGATTGCACTAACGTGTGGGAAAACCTACGTCGGTCAGACGGGCAGATCTGTTAAACACAGACTGCGGGAGCATGACTTGTCGTTGCGATCAGTGGTGGGAGCTGTAGGGGGGCATTTGCCATTGCACTGTCATGGATGTGGGTGCGAACCTATCTTCAGTAAGATTGGTATCATTGGCAATGGAAGGGACAGAATGAATAGAGAAATTTTAGAGGCGCATGCAATTATCAAAGCAGGCGCGAACTGCGTAGGCCAAACGTCACTGGGCCTGAGTAGCAATGAGATTGTTCTTTGGACACGTGGTGAATGCATCATATGACGTGGGCGGAGTTGCTGTTTTCTTTGTTTTGTTTTCATGTGATTAAATTTCAGTTGACAGTCAGCGCTTGTCCTGTTTGCACTTCCTTTAGTCCCCGTTTACTGTGCGCTGTTTGCCTTTTCGTCGGAAGGGACCACGTCAGAGTGGGTGTCATGGCTGCTGCATAGCCAAGCAAAACAACCGGGAAGATCCAGAAACTCTACATGGGGCCTTGTCTGCACCAGACGAAGAGGAAGGGAAAGCAGCTATACAATGTGAACTGGACAGCCTTAAAGCTTCAGGAGCATCGGAACTGATGCCACTACCGAAAGACAGGCAGGTCGTAAAGTGCAAGTGAGTACTCCGCAAGAAGTACGACGAGAACGGTGACCTGGAGAGGTATAAGGCACGGTTAGTAGAGTGTGGATGCTCCCAAGTGGAAGGAACCGACTACAAGGAGAACTTCTCTCCTCTTGTCAAGCTGAAGTCTATAAGGACGGTGCTGGCCATAGCACTTGAGAAAAATTGGAAGATCCACCAGGTTGTTACCACGGCAGCATCCTTCAACGGTACACTGAAAGAAACCGCCTACATGGAACAACCGCAGCCTTTCGGCGACGGAAAGAAGGATGAAGTCTGCCTTCTAAAGAAGAGCATATATGGGCTACGACAGTCTGGAAGGGAGGGGAATCTCACCTTGGACAAACTGCTGAAGTTGCAGGGGAGGACAAGGTCGAAAGCAGACCCCTGTGTATATGTCAGCAAAGAGAAGAAGCTCATCGTAGGAGTCTACGTTGATGACCTCTTGATCATCGCAGAAGAAGAGGAAGAGATTGCTGACTTCAAGAACCGCTTAGGTCAGGAATCTGACGCAAAAAACCTGGGGGTAGCCAGACACATCCTTTTCATACGACTGAAGAGAGAAAGGGGTGGAAAACTGACCCTCGATCAGACGGTTTACGCCGAAGACATCCTGGAGACGTTTGGCATGGCAGATCCAAAGGCAGCATCATCTCCTTTGGATCCTGAAAGCAAGAGCCAAAGAGGAGAGAGCGACGATTGAATGAGAGAAGACCTGCCTCGCAAGTACAGACAGGCAATTGGCGCGTTGCTTTACCTTGTCGGAGGAACAAGACCGGACTGGGCTTTTGCCACCACCTACATGAGTCAGTTCAACGAACATCCCACAGAAGAACACTGAAGTGGCATAAAGCACATCCTTCGCAACGCGAAGCAGACGAAGAATTATGTACTTATCTACCAAAGAACTGGGAAGCGTGTGCATGCCTTTTGCGATGCAGACTGGTCTAGTGACAAGGCTAACAGGAAGTTATTCAGCGGTTATGTGTTCGCGCTCGCTGGCACTGCAATTTCCTGGAGCAGCAGGAAACAACAAAGCACCGCACAGTCAACTGTCAAAGTCGAATATGTGGCCATTTGTCATGCTACAAAGGAAGTTATGTGATTACAGAACTTCATGAAAGAGATTGGTGCGCACGAGTTAACCCCAGGTCTTGCTGGTTGACAACCAGGGTGCAATTGCGCAGGCGAAAAATCAAGGCACGTCAGAGAGAAGCAAGGACATCGATCGTAAGCACTTCTTTCTGAGAGAAAGGGTGGAAAAGGGGTGCAACTCCAGTATGTCGAATCGTTGAGTAACTCTGCAGACCTCTTCACCAAGGCCTTGAATAGAAAGCTGACCTTCAGGCATTGTGAACGTTTGGGTGTCAAGAACGTGGACGTCGACAGTCCATTAAGGGGGAGTGTTAGTAGTGTAATGGACCGTTACCAAATGGCGCCGCGAATCCAGCGCTGAGGTCGCGCAGTCGTTCCCCTTTTGTCTGTATTTTCCGACTTTCTTTAGCTTAATAAACAATATGGCAGCTTGACAGCTGTGTGTCGTGTCTTCATCCAAAATCCACTCAATCCGCGTCCCAGAAATGTGGTCACCCTGCGTAGTTAAGATAAACAAACAGTTTGCACCGGGAGATGCCCTTAAGATAGCTTTTAGTGCAACAAAAACATGGGTAGGAGTACCTGTAAGATATATGTTTGTTGAAGTGGCTAGTGTGATGAAAGCACCGATGGCAATGTTGGTGTGCCGGTGGGAAGCATTTGGTTATTAATGTGAACGCATTAACTGTCACATGGAGAGAACCGGCGTTATCAGAGTGAGGCCGGCTTTATCGTTGTCTGTAGCAGCGATAAGCGGCACCTAAATTCCCACTGGCTGAGTGAAACGGCACCTCAATTCCGTCTGTAGCAGCGAAAACCGGCGCCTAAATTCACCTGAGCGAAACGGGACCTAACTTCCGTTGGCCGGAACGCGTCGTCTGGCTTCATAGCAACGGCGTCATCGTTGCTAAGGAGCCAACCCAATTGCTGGTGACGCAGCGGGAGGAGGGGGGGGGGGGGGGGGGAGGGGGTATGCACTGGCCTGACATTAGGAGTAACGTTAGGCCTATTGTTAGGCCTAACGGTAGGCCTACCGTTACGTTTTGTTGCCTAAGGTTGTTCACCGGTACCCGCAGCTAGTGCGATGATGATGATGAGAGGGCAAGTGATTTCAGCACGCGCCGCGACGAGCTTCGCACCGCCGGCGCCGCGCCGAGCTTCGCGCTCTCGCCGCTGCCTCACCCAGCGGCAAAGCAGTCACCAGCGAGCCAGGGATGCTTTCGTATTGACCCTTTCCGAAATTCAGTCTGGCCACTTTGATCACTATCATCATCTGTGGAACGGCATCTGTGCCATACTAATGGCGGCCTTCTAGTGATGATAAAGGAAGACAATGAAGATGCTCCTATGCGGATCTTGCGAGGCCTTTACATTCAGGGGGTCAGTACGACGCGGCGTAGGAATGAAACACAAGGGCTACGTAAGCGCTAATTTCTAAAAACTCAGATTCAGTCAATCTGTGGGCGGCACACAATCGGCTTTAAAGCATTTTGGTGTATAGAATTCTCTCGAGGCATCTGAGTGGGTTGGAGCCTTGTTCTGAATGCAGGTTCTTGGTCACCATCGAACTGAAAGTGATCGAGAAAAAGCTCACACTGAACAATTCCTCGCGTGCCGTTGACTTGCGAAAGTGACGGTGCCGATACAAGTTCATTTCCGCCATTGATATGGCAAAACCTAAACTGCTTTACAAACCACCAGATGGCACTGAATTTCGGGAAGGGTCTATTCACAACTCATAAGAAGTGCTTGGGTGTCCTTGGAATTTTTCTACTGCTTGCATGGGGCTGACTGTGTGCATAGAGCTGGTATAGGCTACTACTACTACTACTACTACTGCTACTACTACTACTACTACTACTACGACTACGACTACTACTACTACAACTACTGCAACTACTACTACTACTACTACTACTAGTATTGCGCTCGGAGCGATACTAAGATACTTGGGGCTTACCAGGCCCTGCGTTTATTAAGCTGCTTACGACTCTAGATAAACACGCGCCAGATCAGAACCACCGTTGCTGACCCTGTCTTATCGATGCCGAGCGACTAAAACGGGCGTTGACGCGCCTCGTCAAGGGCCAATGCAGGCACGGAGGACGCAGTAGAACCTAAAATGGTCATAACCTGGCCCCTCTACGATGAAGTGAAGTAAACGGAATATGAGGAAATCACTACTCAAGGTTGGTAAAGGCGGCGCACATCCACAGCTGCTTTAAAGCGTCGATGCATCATTTCTGCTCAAGTCCAGGTGCAGTCGACGCTACGAGCTAATGGGACCAAGCAAGCAGCGTTAAAAGCGCAGGTCAATGGGCCTTTTCTGTTTATGCTTGGTACTGCGATGGTAGAACCCGCTCAGAAATGTCACGAACACCATGATGATGTATTTTTGACGCTGTCTGCATACGTCTGAACAGCTCGTAGCGTCGGCTGCGTCCTGGACTAAAGGAGAAACAAAGTATAAAGCCGGACTCTGGTTGCTGTTGATTCTGTAACCGGTTAACGCTTTGTAAATAAGACTCGCAAAGCCATCCGATTTCGCTGGTATAGTATTCATTGTAGAGGGAGCTCCCCGCTTTGAACATAGACTTAAAAAAGAGTTTCATCGCGCTACCTTTATTCAAATAAAAGAAGATTATATATATTTATTTGCCATCAACATGCTGGTTGAGATGAGAAAAGCAGGTGGGAGTTTTTGAAGAGCTCAAACTCACTAAAATTTTCAGCAACAGCGGCCGTATATCGCAACATCTTGGTGCATTATAGACTTTTAATAGATCGTTCCGATGACCCCCAAACCGATATCATATTGCCGCGCGCAGACTTGCAGAAGCTTCTCGTTTATTCTTGCTACAAACATAACTTCTATCGTTTGTGCCTGCTTTTGTTGTTCTAGAAAGTGCGTGTTCATTCTCGCCCCAAGCGCACTACGCTCGAACCTTCCCCGCCGAATCTTCGAGATAGTGACTCACTCTAGATAAGAGGCCGCCCGCGACCTTGTCAAGTCAGTTTCGCTCCAGCGTTCGACTCTGCTGACACGCCGACTTCGACGCCCGCGACGCTCTGCTTTCTTCTGTTTCCTTCTTTATTTTTGGCACAAGTTCGCCACATTAAACGTTTATTTATTCCTGTTCATTTCTAGTTTATTGGTCACCACCCGTGACATTTTGGTGGAGGTGCTGGGTACCGCATGCCCGTGCAGCGTTCCCCTCCAAGAGCCCGCAGTGCAAGTCCAGTTCCAAGCCCAGTGAGGAGACCAGTCCCCGCGGAACCCGAAACCCGGACCAGCCGGCGCATCAAGGGAGAGGATCCGGAATACGGTTCGTTACTGGACAAGCCCAAGTCGAAGCCGACGATGGCCAACCAGTCGCCGACGCCCGCCGCTCCTGCCATCGTCTACCTGCCCGCCGCTCCCCGTACGCCGACACCCTTCCACGGCCAGATCCACGAGGATGTCGAAGACTGGATCAAGCACTACGAGCGTGTGGCGCGCCACAACGGATGGACTGCGGAGCAGTGCCTCCAGAACCTCTACTTTTCGCTGGAGGGTACTGCGAGGCATTGGTTCGAGAATCACGAGGCTTCGCTTACGTCGTGGGACATCTGTGTGGCCGAGTTGCAGCGGACGTTCGCCACCCTACACCGACGGGAGAAGGCAGAAGATCTCCTCCGAATTCGAACGCAAGGCCCCGACGAAAGCGTCACAAGCTTCGTAGAAGATGTCCTCCGCCTGAGCGCCCGTGCCGACCCACGAGCCACAGACGACAAGAAGCTGCGGGTCCTCATGCGCGGGGTGAGAGACGACATCTTTGGAGGCCTCGTGCGCAACCCGCCGGGCACCGTCGAAGCCTTCGTCACCGAGGCGACAAACATCGAGCGCGCCCTCCAAGCGCGCGCTTCCCACTACCAGCGACATCCAAGTGTCGCTGCAACCGCGCTGCTTGGCGGCGAGAACGCTCCTGGTACGGACATCCGCGAAATTATCCGGGAGGTCGTCCGGGAGGAACTCCGCCAGTTGCTGCCAGCCGCAAGTCGTCCAGTTGCTGCCGCTGCCGCCACCAGACTTTGGTGGCGGCAGCGGCAGCGTACGGACGCCAAATAATCAACTCTGCATTTTACAGCCCGCTGCTGAGGACCCTCCTGCGTCTTTGAAGAAGATTTCGTTACTTGGCATACTCGCGGCCTGGAGACAAGCTCTGTGGACAGTGTACCTGCTACAGCGTCTTCACATTGCATCGCAGAGACTGCCATCTATCCCAGTCACTTCCAACTACCTGATTAGTTATCGCTCGCTTCGAGTGGGCGGTGGCTGCGAGTGCGTCTATTACTTTGGTGGCGGCAGCGGCAGCGTACGGACGCCAAATAATCAACTCTGCATTTTACAGCCCGCTGCTGAGGACCCTCCTGCGTCTTTGAAGAAGATTTCGTTACTTGGCATACTCGCGGCCTGGAGACAAGCTCTGTGGACAGTGTACCTGCTACAGCGTCTTCACATTGCATCGCAGAGACTGCCATCTATCCCAGTCACTTCCAACTACCTGATTAGTTATCGCTCGCTTCGAGTGGGCGGTGGCTGCGAGTGCGTCTATTACTTTGGTGGCGGCAGCGGCAGCGTACGGACGCCAAATAATCAACTCTGCATTTTACAGGTTGGTGGTTTAGATGTTCTAAGTCTCTAAAATATTGTATTTCGCTGTCGCTGTTGCTGCCACAGGAGTTTTTTGTGTGAGCAGTGCTTTGCTTGTACAGTGCTTTTTGCCTTGTTTAGTGACTAACGCTGTCGACGTGTTTGGTTGTAAGAGCAAGATGGCCACGGGATTCACTAACACCTGCCTGTCGTGTAATGAAGCTCTGTCAGAAAAGAGTCTGAAAATGAAATGTGTAGAGTGTGAGTATTCTTATCACCTCGGTGCATGTTCAGGTATACAGGAATCGACCTTTAAGACTAAGGGGGAGAGCTGGCATAGTGCATGGCGCTGTCAAACATGCCGAATCTCGAAGCAACGAAGTAGTAAACCAAAAAAGGATTCTGAAGTGGACGTCATGGTTGCGCTGGCTGCCATGAATAAAAAGCTGGATAGTCTACTTGACCTTAAAGAGACTGTAAATGGCATTGAACAGGCTATTCAGATGCTATCGGACAAGTACGACGGTGTGATAATCCGCATGACCCAACAGGAGATGGATTTAAAAGAACTGAAAAAAAGGGTCGAGAGAGTAGAGCAAGATGAGGCAAAAGCAGAAATCGGGCAACTCAAAGATCAAATAAATGAACTCGAATGGCGATCACGACGACAGAACTTGGAATTACACGGCATCCCGACGACTGAAAAAGAAAATATGATGGAAAAAGTGAACAAAGTAGCAAGGTCACTGCGCTTGCCAGAACTAACACCCACTGATATCGTATCAATGCACAGGCTGGCCTCTAAGCCTGATAAGATACCTGGTATTATTGTTCGTTTCATGAGTCAGACTACTCGAGATTTATGGCTTAGCAAACGATTGCACCTTAAAGAAGACGGAAATAATGTTTACCTTTTAGAAAACCTGACGAAACATGAAAAATCCTTACTTTGGTCTGCGAAGGAATGTGCAAAGGAAAAGGCTTACAAGTACGTTTGGTACAGAAATGGTAGGGTTCTTGTGAGGAAAGCGGACGGAGAACCAGTTATCGTTATCAAGAGCATTGATGACTTGGAGAGGTTGAGATAGAAAGGCTGGTAACGCGCCGCCATGAATTTCGCTAGTATTTTTTCCTTTTTTGTCAATGACAGACAGTGCTTATTTATTGCCGAATGAAGTGGGAAATTGCTTTAGATCCAAGTTGAAAACCCCCCTTTCTTTGTTTCATTTGAACGCGCAGTCAGTGCGTAATAAGTTTGAGCAATTTGATGCGTTTTTGGAAGGTTTTGGCATTTCTTTTGATGTGATTATGTTAACAGAAACGTGGTACAATCAAGATGACAGTGTTGATAACTTAGAAAATTACTATAACTATAATTTATGCAGAACCTCACAACGAGGGGGAGGAGTTTCAATGTTTATAAAGAAGTCCATAGAGTGCAATATTGTCCATCAATTCACTAAACTCACCGATGATTATGAAATTTTGACAGTGCAATATGCCCACGGTGTTTTTTCTGTTATGTATAGACCGCCAGGAGGCGACATGTCTTGCTTCAACGCTTTCCTAGAAACGTTTTTCAATTTTTGGGGGGAAAGGCATTTTAAATGTGTCCTTGGAGGTGATCTTAATATAAATATGCTGGAACCGACACGGCAACGTGAACAGTTTTCGATGTTGTACCAATCATATGGCTATATTAATGTTATCAACGAACCTACGCGTTTCACCGCTCAGAATCAAACATTGCTGGATTTATTCTTGACAAACGTTTTCGAAGTAGATGTACATGCTGGTGTGATCGGGGCCACCATAAGTGATCATCTTCCTATTTACATGTTCATTGATTCAAGTGTTAATCACAAGAAAAAGCATTCTCGTGAGTTTTATTACAGAGATATAAGTCATAGAAATCTCGAGCGGTTTCGAGAACAGATCAGTCATACCAACTGGGATTCTGTTTTTTCCAAGGTGTCGGCCGACGAAGCATATGAAAGTTTTCTTGAAACATTTTCCAACATATATAATTGTAATTTTCAATATAAACGGTATGTTAATAGCAAGAAGTGCAGAAAACCATGGGTTACACCCGATATATTAAAAATGATGCAGAAAAAAAATACACTCTACCAAAAATTTGTGCTCACTAAAGACTTGACTGTCTTATCAGCTTTCAGAAAGCAAAGAAATAGAATAACAAGTGAGTTACGACGGTCAAAACGAGCATACTACAACTCTCTATTTCTAAATGTGAAGCGAACGGAGGTTGTGTGGAAGAACTTAAATGCGATACTGCATGAAGGTAATAAATTGGAACCAATTACTGAACTAACAATTGAAGATGAAATAAAAACCGGAGCTACTTTGGCAAATGCATTTAATGATTTTTTTGTAGATTTAGTAAACAGTGTTCCTTCAACTGAGGCTACGAGATATGTTAAAAGTGTCCCAGAAAGTATATTCTTTTTCCCAACGGATGAGGAGGAAGTAATTTCTATTTTTTTACATGTTTAAAAAATAGTAAAAGTTGTGACATTAATGATATCCAAATAAAACCTGTTAAATACGTAATCAAATCGATTGCTTCGATTTTAGTGTATGTTTTCAATTTATCGATTCAGACTGGCATTTTTCCACGTAAAATGCAGGTAGCCAAGGTGTCAGTGCTTTATAAGACAGGGGATAAAAACGAACTGGGAAACTACAGGCCGGTTTCTGTTTTGCCAATTTTTTCTAAGGGATTAGAAAAAATAATTCATAAAAGATTATATCGTTTTTGTGAAAAGCATTCCATACTATCTCCTCATCAGTATGGGTTTCGTAAGGGCTGTTCAACTGAATTAGCCCTATTAGAACAAAAGGAACTAATTCTTAGCAATATTGAAAACAGGCTTCTTACGTTAGGAATTTTTATCGATTTTTCGAAGGCATTTGACCGCCTTAACCATGAAACCTTACTACAAAAACTGCTAGCTTACGGCGTTAGAGGTAAAGCTCTTGACATTATAAGAAGTTACTTGCAATCCCGGTTTCAGATGGTGGTAATAGATGGCTACCACTCTAATAGTAGACAAATGAAAAATGGCGTTCCGCAAGGAAGTATTTTAGGGCCGCTTCTTTTTAACTTATATATCAACGATATAGTAAATATTGACTCTAAGGTGCATATGATAATTTATGCGGATGATACTTCCATTTTTTTTTCGGGCAGAAATACTTCTGAATTGATAGAAGCTGGTAATCGGTTTCTTCATAAACTGAATGAATGGACTATTTCTAACTCACTAGTTATAAACAATAAAAAAACAAAGTCTGTCATTTTTAGATCAAAAGGAATAAATAATATATGTCAGCAGCAGGCCCTTACCTTAGGTGCACAAACTATCGAAATGGTTAAGACAGTTAAGGTGCTTGGGGTAATGTTTAACGAATATTTGCGATGGGATGAGTCCATTCAGTCTACTGCAAAAAAGCTATCAAGAGTAGTGGGTATCATTTATAAGTGCAGGGAAAAACTACCTTCATCGGTATTGCTTCTTATTTACAACTCTTTGTTTTATTCTTGTTTTAATTATTGCTTTTTGGTATGGGGAAATTCTACTTATTCGAATATTAACATTCTTTATTTGTTACAAAAAAAAGCAATTCGTGCGATCTGCAATGAGGCTTACTGTAGCCACACAACACCCATGTTCAAAAGATTAGGCCTGATTAAAATAACAAATTATTATGACTATAAACTTATTCTCATGTACAAAACAGCATTAAATAAGCCAGACAGTATCTTCCTTTCCCTGTCCTCCTTACAAACAAAGCAGATTTCATATGCTGTTCGACACGCTGACACCTGGATAGTCTCTCGTTCAAGAACCAATTATGGTGACCAGATGCTGCAGTATAGGCTACCTAAAGTTTTAAATACTATGTCCCTTTTGGGTGTTGAAGTTGAAGTCATTTCCAAAAAGTGCTTACGTTCCAGATTTGTTGAATTGTAATATTTTAACTAGTCAAAATAGTGTACCTATAGTTATTTTTGTATCGTTACTGTTGTTTAATTTTGTATTTGAGATTGTTTACTCTGCGATGACTGCTGTTGCTGCCGAAGGGGAGGAAGGGACTCTGTCAAGCAGTTCCTACTGCTTTTTTCCCATCCTCCCACTCTTCATTGAAGAGAAAAATAAACTTGAAACTTGAAACTTGAAACTTGAAACTTGACACTCTCCATTGCCGAGGCTGTGAGCGAGGAAGTACAACGGGCGCTCCAACCAGAGGTTCCCGTCACCACGGTGGCACTGGAGGAACCGACGTTGAGCTACGCTGCCATAGCCCGACGACCGCCGCAAGCCCCCCGCCAAGCCACGGCGCCACCCCGAAGAGACGTCCCAACGCCGCAGTATCCCCGACGACAGGAAGATCAGGCGCACGTTCACCCAGACCGACCTGCGCCGAAGAAGACAGACGTCTGGAGGACGGCCGACCGACGCCCGCTGTGTTACCACTGCGGGGAAGCTGACCATGTTTACCGCCGATGCCCATACCGACGACTCGGGCTGCGTGGATTCCACCCAAACGACCCACGCCCCCGGCATGGTGAACGCCCTCGGGAGATCGACGAGTATCTGCAACGACCTCAGTTCCCCGAGCCTGCGTCCCGCCGAGAGTTCCGGTCGCCTTCACCACGACGTTCAGCTTCGCCGATGCACCGACCCCGACGAGAAAGCCTGTCGCCTCTCGCTCCACGCCGGGGAAACTAGGCGCGGCAACCCCTGGAGGTGGAGTTGCCGAAGACGACCGACGCCAAGATCCTCCACGAACGTCGGAGGGCCCCCACTCGAACGCTACCGGAGACCGAAACGACGCTCCTGAAACGGTGTCCAACAACCTAAACGTCATCATCGACGGCCACGACGCATCGGCACTCGTGGACACCGGAGCAGACTACTCAGTCTTGAGTGGGAGGCTCTCCCGCCGCCTTCGAAAAGTCACGACGCCATGGGATGGACCTCAAATACGAACCGCCGGAGGGCACCTCATCACACCAGTCGGAAGGTGCACTGCTCGCGTCGAGATCCACGGTGAGACGTGCCCTGTGAAGTTCGTCGTTCTGCAAGACTGTTCGAGGGACGTTATCCTCGGAATGGACTTTCTCTGCGAGTATGGCGCCGTCATCGACCTCGCTGCAAACCAGTTGACGCTTCGAAAGCCCGTCGTACCGCCGGTGGAGATCAACACGACGTCAACCGCGATCCGAGTTACCGCCGACCATGTGAACCTACCGCCGCGGTCGAGTGTTTTCGTCACCGTTATAACCGACGCAGCCATGCACGGTGAAGCTCTTCTGGAAGGCAGCGTACAACTGCTCCTCGAAAAGGGAATTGGTGTCGCAAGAGGCGTGACGGATCTCCAAGAAAGACGTACAACTGTTCTTGTGACGAACTTTCGAGAGGAGCCGCAGCACCTAACGAAGGGTACCACCGTGGGCCACATCGAGGAGCTTCAGGCGCCAGCCGTGGTCACCGCAATCTCCGAGGAAACCTCGTCGCCACAGCAGAAGAGCACGACGCCGCCGCCGTCGACATCGACCCCGAGCTCCCAGCTCCGAAGCGCCGGCCACTGGTTGACCTCCTCGCCGAATACAGTGACTGTTTTGCCACGACATCGAAAGTTCGCCAAACACCAATGGCGAAACATCGCATTATTACTGACGCCGACGCAATCCCTGGCCACCAGTCGCCGTATCGAGTCTCCTTAAAGGAAAGGAAAGTGATTCAAGATCAAGTCTAGGAGATGCTCGACGACGTCATCATTCAACCCTCAAGAAGTCCATGGGCGTCCCCAGTCGTCCTTGTAAAGAAGAAGGATGGGACCCTGCGGTTCTGCGTGGACTATCGTCGACTGAACGCTGGGACGAAGAAGGACGTCTATCCGCTCCCCCGCATCGACGATACGTTAGACCGACTGCGCCACTTCCGATATTTTTCGTCGATGGACCTGAAGAGTGGTTACTGGCAGATTGAAGTCGACGAACGTGACCGGGAGAAAACTGCCTTCGTCACTCCCGACGGACTGTACGAATTCAAAGTGATGCCGTTCGGACTTTGTACAGCACCAGCCACCTTCCAGCGCGTCATGGAGAGAAACTACTGAAGCGCTACTTTGGACCCTACAAAGTGCTTCGTCGACTCGGGGATCTGAACTACGAGGTGATGGCCGACGGAACACGGACTTCATCACGCCGCCCTCCAAGACCAGAAGTCGTCCACGTCGTGCGCATGAAGCCCTACTACGCTCGATAGGACTGTGGACCTTATGTGTTCGAAATGACTTTTTAGTTTACCGTTATTTCGTTTCGCTTTG